ATTACGAGTGTTTTACATTATACCTGATTAATTAAACATTTTACCTTATTAACATCATCATTTTAATTCGTTATTATAAGAAAGTGTATAAAATAATGGATTACTTTAGAAAATCAATTTAAATCAGTACGTTATGCTACAAACCACAACACATATAAGGAAAAACTGATCATAATAGTCTTTTCTTCTCATTTCCTTACCTTTTTCCTAGTTATAAATGATTAAATAAACTGTATAACTTTGTTGTGAACCAACAACATGCAGCTTTCATGACTTGAATGTGACATCTATCATTTCAAAACATGTATGAAGTTGTGTCCATCCCATCTCTATAGAGTATTTATGCCTTTAAAAAAAACACTAATTGTTCAAGATAATTCTATAATTACAAGATTTATAACTATTATGATGCGAATCCCTTAAATAACTTCATACTCTAAAATGACATCACATCTGATCTTACGTATCACATCACAATTATTCATCAAAATCATTTATGAATCACGCCTTTTCAAGTAAAGTACTTTTAAGGAATGCTGATACTTTATTTATTTCAACCAGAAAATATCTCTTGAAATTGGTGTATATATGCTGAATGCTACTTATGTTGACAGATATAAGTAGTGTATGACACAAATCAGAAAAGGGAATGCCTTGGCATCAGAAGAATGAGAAGAACAGTAATATAAAAAGAGAATAATTGTAATGACAACAGAATTGAAAGAACAATGACGTTTGTAAGAGACAATTAATAGTTGATATACAAATGATGTATTTATCATGAAATCAAACTTTTAAATATGGTGTTCCTTTTATTCAATCTATGAATGTGCCTAATCACACATTATTAGATGAAGAAAACAAAATGAAATGAAAATCAAAACAGAAAAACTAATACAAAATTGAAGAGATATGATTTAGTGAAGTATACTGTCATTCAAATAATTTATTTGTTTACCTGATATGATCCATAAACAATGTGTGCAAGTGTATATTTACTTTGATATTATCTATTAGATTAAATCTATGATAATTAAACTCACAAAAATAAAACAGAAAATATATCCATAACAAAGTTCAACAAAGGAGTAAAGACTTGATGATCTAAGATTATTTCTGTCTAAGTTAATCGATGAATAAAAAGGATGAGATCCTTCATCGGTGTGCATCTATGATCATGCACGTAGGACTCGAATCCCAGACTGTTTATCTCGTATGTGAACATTTCACATCTAGATTAATGAATCGGCATTCATTGGTGTTAATAACTCACATCAACCAGTCTTCGATATTGTATAACCATCAGTTGATAAATGCCTCGAATCCGGGTGTTAGATGGTAGATACGCACTGTTGGGATGTCTCATACTAGAATAAAACGGTTGTCCAGTGCTTCTAGTTTTTTAATAGTGATCTAACATTGGTCAATTCATCATCTTAATCAAAATTCAACAATCTCCACGCCTCTACACAGAGAATAAAAAGTAGTTTGGATTTCAATAACTTTCCTATATATTTTTAAGATTGTGATTAAAATATATGAACACATTTAACAGTTAATATTCAAGTTAACTATCAATGATTTCATTGATTGATATAATGTTCTTTAGTTCATAGGCCTACACTAAATTTATTATGAATTCGGTATCATATAAACAAAATGATTTGTTTTAATACATCTTCACAGTTATTTATATGCTTACTATATATATATTGGTACTTTTGATGAAAGTCATTTGTTTCTTTAAAACATATTAATTCAATTAAAAAGACTATCCAGCCTACTTATTGGTTGGTTTGTTTTTATAATATTTTTATATTTACCTTATTTAAAACTTTGAAGATGGATAGATTAAGTGGAGGAATTAAAAAAATTCTTTTTAATTCATAGTATACATTAAAAGTAAACTTCCGTTATTTTTGTATTAGTTAATCTATATAAACAACTGACCATTACTAACAGTTTTTATCAATATATAGTAACTTTGTAGAGTGAAATAAAGTTTACAATTACTATCACAAATTGGCTTTAGCTAAACAATCATTAAAAACTAAGAAACATTGCCGAACTATTCAGGATTGGGTACTACAGAACTTACTGAGAATTAAACCCATGAACTTCGTGTCTCATGGTAGGTTCTTAAATTTAAGATCACCAAGTTGATATATTTTGGAACATATTTTAAACTTCAATCACACCTGGTGTGATTGAACTTCACTCATCAAGGTTCGTCACTAAAGTTTCGAACATTATCTCGTGAATTCAGTTAACTTTAAGCCTACAATTATTATTAATATACAGGATTTTCTGAAATCGAATCTTAACCATTTTTAACAGATAACTAAGTTAGACATTAACATCGTTGGATGCTGGCTCAGTGGTCTAGTGGTTAAGCGCTTGCGTGCGAGACTGGTGTTTTCTGGGTTCGAATCTCATGAGGCGGGATCGTGGATGCGCACCGCCACTGAGGAGTCCCTTACAAGGACGAAACTTCCATTCAGTGATTCCAGATTTTCCATGGTGGTCTAGATTCAATTGACTCATAATTTCAACTATTGAGATAACTAATAATTGTTATTTTTTAAATTAAAACATTATTTTAAACAAGGTTTGACTAAAAAAAGTCAAACTAGTACATTTTTAACCCTTTACAACAAAATAGAATTCGTAAAATCTATATGATTTACATGCTTGAACAAAAATACAATGTATAGTATAATAAGTAATGAAGAAATTTGTTTAATATTTTTCTATACTCAGCAATATCACAGTTGGAGACTATATATACGGGTAAAAACGTCATAGTAATCAGTAGATGTCGATATTTATTAATACAATATGGCGACAATTGAAATAACTAGACAATATTGATTCAGTGGTTAATATGAATTAATGATAGAAAGAAATGTTGGTTACTTTTTAAAAAATTAAAAAAATAACAGAAATAATTATTCTTTTCTGTTAGGATATTAATAACATTTTACGTCATTTTAAAGATATATATATATATATATATATATATATATATATATATATATATAGAGAGAGAGAGAGAGAGAGAGAGAGGAAAAGAGAGGCATCTTGGAGATCGACACAAATACATACATATCCACGTTGTTAGACTTCTCGCCAACACGGCGAGATATGTCAGTAATTAACAAACCTTTAACAGAATTTGAGCTCCACATAACTCACCCTGATTTCCTATTGTTTTAACTGTTTTCTCATTTGACTTTTCTTTTGTTTGGCTTTCTAAGTTATAAACTGAGTTTCTTAATATAATTTGGAACTATTAATGATTCAATCCTGTGTCGAATATGACAGTATGCTTCACATGGTAATGAACTTAGAAGCTTTTGATATAGATACATGCTATACCTTTGGAACATACCTATAAGACTAATTGTGGTCAATCAAACAAAATGAAGTCATTTAGTTCAATCAGTATTTGTTTTTAAGTTATCATTCAGTCAAATGAAATGAAAAATACCAATCACCTGGTATAAATAACTAAATCTTATATTTAGGTTTGATAAAGAGAGTACTAGATCACGAATAATCATAGTTTCATCCCTTTATTTCAAACTGATGATTAATTTAAACCCATCTCTCTTCAATGAGAATTAAGAGTGATAGCTAGGTCTTAAGTCTATTGACACTCATTTACCACTTTGTATATAAACATGTTGCTTTATTAAAAGAAATCCTGTTCGTCTAATTCATATAATTTTATTAAGGTGTTTGAATTAATAATCCCATATCGTGAGAAATCATTTCTCAGTTTCATCACATCAGTATCATCAAACCAACAAATCCTAATTCATAACAGTAGTGATAAGCTATTTAGCATTTTAATAAATATGATATTGCTAGATACGTTCAAGTTTACGCAGGTATAATGTTTAGCAACAATATGATATTTCAGAAAACAGAATTAATTTGAAAATTATTTAAATTAGAGCAGTTGACAAATGTCAATCTAACTCATTAAACAAGATTATAATTTTATTCACTCAGCTTTAAGCTATACACTTTTTTCTACAAGCTAACAACAATAATGCTATGAACAAGAACAAAAGCGCGGACAACCAAGTGTGTCTTAGTTCAACATAACAGTATATCTTCATAAAAGCTGAAAATCATACAGTAGATATTTCATTTTCAAAATGTCAATAAATTGTCTAAGACTTTGTTGTTCCTTCATTTCCACACCAATCACTCTCTTTTCTCGTTCTCTTTTCTTCGATTTTCTCAACCTTCTGCCACCAAGTATTCCACTTTTGATTAATGATACATCCTACTTATATCTATCGACATCGGTAGCATACACCACAGTACCCATTTGCTTAAATAAAGTAGTTTGAACGAACTTTAAACCTATAATACAGTGATCAACGATTAAGTTGTCATTCTTAAATTTATGTAGGGACATAAAAAGAAAACCTCAATGTATATTCTTATTTTGGGTTAGCTCATTCACTTCATAAAAATTATAAACATCTTATTGAACAATGTAACTGAATGGTTGATAAAAAAATTTTTGAAAAGAACTATATAAACTCAGGTTTTCCCACTAAATTTCTCATGAATGACTAAGTATTATAACAAGATATTTCGACCCAAAAGTAGATCATGAAAAAAAAACAATATTGTCAATAATATTTCAAAAGCTAGTGGCTATCAGGACTCAGTAGCTAGGCGGATAACTCGATGGACTTTGAAATGGACGATACTAATTTCCAGTCCTAGGGTGAAAATTAACTCTGGAATGCAGGTACATTCAGCTGACGAGTCTCAAATACGATGAAACACGCGTCCTAGATTCTACTGCTAACCATTATCCACCTTTGCTTAATGTAATATCGAGGCAATACGCACAGTATGCACATATACCAACAAAAGACTGATCAATTCCAGACGTAAACATCAATGGGATGATTTAAATAGATAATACAAAAATAAATTAAAACTGTCAATAACTTTCTTTCACACTTACTTACATCACATGAATATTCAATAGTTTGTTTAAGTTTACTATCAGTACATTTCTCATTTGTTATTTTATTCGCATTTTCATTATCATCATAATCCTTTACTTTATTGTTCGAAGTTTTATCATGTTCTGTATTATTGTTGGATAAAGTTGTATTACATGAATTACCTTCAATTTGTTTTACTTTCATTGACTGCCTTGCATGAGCCAAACGTCTAGCTGATGGGGAAACACAAAAATGTTTCCAATCTGGTTTACAACCATAACCAAATGCATTTAAAGCAGCATTAAGGTAAGTCGGTTCTAAAGTTGAAAATGTAAGTAAACATGTATTCTATGAGAATAACTATACTTATTAGAAATATTATACACTATAAAATAGTAACTTACTTGATAAAATTTGAAAATTAATATAGCTCTATTCTAAAGGTTTGTAGTTATTCAATTATTTACCTATTTTCAGAAGGGGTTTGTGGAGATTTTAGAAGTTTCACAGATTGAAATCATGAGTCAATTGAAGCAAGACCACAATGGAAAACCTGGAAGCACTGGATAGCCGTCTCGTCCTAATATGGGACTCTTCAGCAGTGCATATCCGCGATCCGGCACCTCGCGGGCTTCGAACCCGGGACCTATCAGTCTCGCGCCAGGCACTTAACCAACTAGATCACTGAGCCGACACCCAACGGTGTTAATGTCTCACTTCAACTAATCCACGAAGTTGCGCCACCATATACCATTGTCTTCAGTGAGTTGATATCTCACAACAGACCTGGTCAAACTTCACTGGTAACGGCTTCTCATTAGAACTCCAGGAGTATTTCTTGAAGTCAGTCACTAGTGAGCAGATGATTATTATCAGAAGGGGTTCGTGGAGATTTTAGAAATTTTACAGATATTTACTTATTTCTCCAAATTATTTTTATTTATGTTATATTTTCTCAAAATTTCGAAAAATAGAAAGATTATGCTACGTTACCTAGGATACAGAAGACTCTTTATAAGGCTAGTAAATAAGGTCTTTTACCTGGTTTAAATATGGCTGTGAGTACATGTTTAAAATCCACACAAAAAATAATAATCAGTACTATTTTATCAGCTAGAAAGCATCCAGTTTACACTTTATTTTCTTCTCGGTTAATTCAATGAAAGAACAAGGCAGAAGTACATTAGAATGAATTCGTATAAAGTTCAATACTATAGTTCCACAACAATTTACCTCGCATAAACTATGGGACGTAAACATCGAAGGAACAGAACAAGCCAACACTACAGCACCTCACATGCAATTGAGTTTATTCTCATTTAACTCAGTTAGGCCCTTGTATGAAATATGCATGTTTGAACATTACTTACCGCCTACGCATATATTCATTCTGTTAACTTTATTATTAGCTGCTTAATTGATTCGATGATACAATCATTTTCCAATACATATACATGTACATTTACACTCTACACACACTCTTGGTTCGCCAACTCACTCATTCGCCTCACTGCTTTGTGATCTGAGTTATCTGCTACTAAAACTGTAGTCACTGCTTCTCTTTGCCTTCTGAGGATTATATGGTAACGGTTACGAGGGTGATTGGTCAACGAAGCACAGTCACTACAAGACATTTCGTAGTTGAAATTTAACAATAATCAGCCAACTGTTTTAAAGATATATATTTTATGATACATAAGTATGCAAAGAGATTTAAGGTAACTTCATGAAATATATTATAAAATTAATTTTTCGACGGAGCTCAAATCAATTCCTTTCTCTTACTTCTTATCTTCTAAAATCCATCTCACCTTGTGTTTACATGAAATGTAACTTAAAGTAAATACAACTATTAGTTATATGAGTATTTATTCAGTTTCTTTGCAATCTTCATGATAACACAAAAGTACAGTGTGTAAATAAAAATTTATCATGTAAAGTTTTAAAACTATCAACCAACATTGACAATATATGAATAATATTTCTTTTATATATGAAATATATATTTACCTGGACGATCACCAAAAGTCAAATGATCAAATTCTTTAGTTTTCAAAGTGTTATTCTGATTAAGCTGACAATTAGTTTGTAATTGATTATACGGTGGAGATGTAATTTCATCATTTCTATCCTTGTCAACTGGCAAAGCGATACTTACAGGACGTGACTGTGGTTGCTTGTTAAAATAATTTTCATAATAACGTGAATAATACTGATCTCGGTGATGATCATGAGACAAGGGATAAGATTGTTGATCGATCTGTTTGATTAAAGTATAGATAAGTTAAAAGTGAAACAAACCTATGAATATATAAGTCTAACTCATTTACAAAGTTATTAGCACGTGGGATTTGTGAAAATCGTAGTGTATTCACAATCGATCTGGAAACACTGGAAAGCCACTTCATCCTAATGTAGGACTTCCCAAAAGTGGCTATCCACGACCCCACAATGGCAAACCGAATCCAAGACCTGTTTCGTGTGGAAACGCTCGACCCCTAGACCACTGTGCCGGCATCCAACAGTTCTAATGTCTAACTTCAATCAATCCATAATCTTGAACGACCCTTCATCCATTACCTACGATGTATAACTGTCTCATACACGACACGAATTGGATACCATTGGTCATGGCTTTTCACTGAACCAGAGAAGCTTAGATTTTATTCTATTTGAGACTATTAAACTGTTTGTATCTATGTCACACTATTGATGTTCAGATTGAGACTCGAACCCAATACCTACCACTTCAAGCTCCAATACACCATTGAATAATACATGCCTTCAACGCTCGAATATTGTCATCGACTTAAATCGCGTTAGTGAGTAACAGAATTAAATAAGATTGGATTCCGAATACAAATATTTCGTACAATTGTTGATCCAGACAGACAATCAGAGAAACGAAGCAAAGGAAGCGGGGAGAAGAGAGTGAAGCAAAACGAAATGATGCGCTGTGGAGAAGGCAAGCGACCTAACTCGATTTAACCAAAAGTGAATTGAAATTTATAGCCAAACAAAAATATGTTACAGATACATAATCAGTAAGGTAAGTAATTAACACAGATACGATAATATAAAAACAGTCAGGGTTGATTAACGAACGAGTGAAAAGATCAAAATGTAGCTTGAGAAGAACGAATAAATTAGTCTGTCCAGAGGCACCTACACACTTGTTGAGAGTGTTAATTGTTACCTTAACTTAGCACTCTGATCGATAAAAATTTATTTTCTGATGTGAAAAGATTTAATTTTCAACATGGAATTCAACATTGAGATGCAGGTACTCTCAGATGATAGGTTCCAAAACGCGTGTCCTGAATTCTAATGCTGCTCGATGTAGAAGTAAACATCCCAGCTACTGTATAGGTGTTATATCTACATGAAGTAGGCACTGAAGATTTTGCATAAAGTGATCAATCTCAAAAAAATACTTAGTTAACTACTTGAATCCTCTATTCTTTCAACTCAGTGTATTCAATGACGCATCAAATTGCATAAAGCTTAAAAAGATGTCACATAATAGATTTTACGATACTAATCGACAAATCAAAAGAAAACTAAAAGGTAAATTCATAATCTCTTACTGTCACGAAATTTATTTTCAAATGTTTATTTTCATTTATGTATTTAAAGGCATAAATGTTGGTACAAAGACGCACCAAAATATAAATGCGCCACACAAACAATTCAATTTATATGCGGGCTGGAATACTGTCTGGGCACCCAAGCCGAAGCAAATCGTTTTCTTAGCAGGCCACTTCCTGAAAATTTCACCCATTGGCCTATTTTACAAGGCAACCCCTCTATGAGAATGTAATCAGTAGAAGTTACTTGGAAGTATTAATATACACATTGCCATATGAGAGCATTTCGAGTGGGAGAATGGACTTTTAGTGAACGAGTACTCAAGTGAGGACAGCCAATCTATTTTAATACAAAATTACAGCGTTCTTTGGTCAAATGTATAATTCATACGTTAAACACTTCACTTGAGAATCCTCCACTAACTGTCTCAAACTTCATCGTTCCTTCATTGCCGTAACAGTTGTTCTCCGTTCCCGTTCTCTTACATTCGATCTCCCTACCCTTCTGCTGCCGGGCTTTTCACTTCTGATTGGTGTTACACACTACTCATTTTCACTGAATAAATTAAGTGAGTTAATGTTCCTTTCTCAATTTTGTTGATAATATATCGATCATAATTTCTAATTAGAGCTATAAAACCTTCGTTTTGAAAATTATTCATTAATGACTATGTAATTACTAATTATCATACTTAATGGTCATGATTAGTCGAAAGGAATTCTAAATCAAGGTTTTGTGCTCTCAGCACCTGTTACTATCATGAACCTGCAACATTTGTGTGAAATTTATACTCATATTCACTTCGTTTTAGATAATGCAATTTATATTAAGTCACTTAGATTGATTATCACAAGTCTAATAAATAACAAAATTCGAATAAAGTCAAGAATGTTGTAACAAAAACTGCACAAAAAGGAGTTAAACCAAAATACATATAACGAAAATGATTACATGTGTGTATGTGTATATCTCTGTGCGAAGATAACAGATGACAAACTGAATAGAATTAAATAATATTTTTGTCAACATTTCTTGTTATTTTCTTTTATCAATAACTAGTCAAACCATTAAACAATCTACTACTTTTTGGAGTAGGTGTTCTTCCGTATTTGTTAGTGGTTGTTTTGACAAATTGATCACGCAGTTGTTTGTGTTTTCTTCCACGGGTGGTTTTGAGATCTTGATCAGTTTTTCTTTAAGGCGTTTCTCTGTGTCTTTTGCATGATATCTCGATTGCTGTTGTCAAGATTTCCAAATGTTCTGACGTAAGTGTCCTTTGTAGCTTCATCTTTTGGTCTTCTATGACGTGTTGGTATTTGCGGATTCTGTAGTGTGCATCCGTTATCATTAGGTGTACCATTTTTCTTCCACTTTGCTCAGCTATTTTCCATCCTAATGGGCAGTTGATTGGAGGTCTATATCTTACACTTGTTGGTAGAACGTCTCACAATCTACTATTATGCTTAATTAATTTAACTGTATTTGATGATCGACTTAAGAAAAAAACATTTTTCACAACCATCATTACTAAATAATCCTATTACAATACTTGTCAATATATATATATATATATATATATATATATATATATATATATATGTCATCCTGAATACGAACACGGAGAGTCCATCTAGGAGAGTTGGAAAACCCTGATTACAAACCAATGGTGCATATAGGTTTCAGTATCCTGATGAAACAAATGACGTATGAACCAATCGTTGGTCACCTGCTAACATGAGACTGCATCTCCAGACGTTACTCCACTGCCTTGTGGATTAGACCTTTAGATTAAAGGCCCAGGATGTAGCGTCCTAAGAAAACCATCTGCTTCGGTTAGGGCACCCGAGCAGTATCCCAGACCTCACATAAATCGAATGATTCTCGTGGCTCATATCTATTTGGTGCCTCCTTGTACCAATGTTTATGTGTTTAAATAATAATAATTTTAAACTGAACAAATTACCTACCATCAATGATTTGATGTAAACAAAATACTTTCTTGTAATAATTCATAAGATATGGATTATATAGCATTAAACTAACCGTAATTACCTCTGATGAATTGTTAGATTTCTTATCTTCATCTGTTGTAGTTTTATTTGTATCACTTCGCATAATATTAGTATTCAACGAATATGATGGAATGATTTGAGTATTTTCTATAAAAAATTAAAATGCGTAAGATATTGTTTTTCAAGAAGTAGAGTAGTAGTAAATACCAGCCGAAACACTGAGCTAAAAAAAATCGATATCTATATCTATTTTCACTGGAAAAAGTTTCAGGAAATCAGGAACAGAGGTATAACCTTCAACTAATTAGTGCTTTAAACAGACTATCGAGATAAACCTAGAAAATAACTGATTAAGCCTTTCTTATTTTGATTGTTTGATTATTGAACCTGTTAGCAATTTTAGCATGTTTTTTCAGGAGATTCTACAACCTCTAGGTTATACAATTCTATAAATACTCTCACTTATTATCCCCAGTTTAACGTTTAATGTATAGATCCATCAATACTTCTTGCCTGTTGACTTTTGTTCGGCATTCATATGTTGAAGACTTCTGGGGATTAAGATACAAGTGAGAATTTTGTGTCTATGGATTCAAGTATAAGACTTACCAATCCAAAGATCTTTTTTTATCGCGGACTGACCTCGGCTGGACAAAATCTGTGAATAAAAGATATTTTACACCTACTTAATCTTAATCAAACCCGAGACGGTATATTTCAAGCACTAAGCAGAGATTAAATAGTTAAGATCTTTAACTTAAACCGATTTTTGATATGGTTTAGTCATCGTCGAATATGGTTGCTATCATATCTACCCCATTTCTTCTATAGTTTAGGTGTTTTGACTTGTTAAATCAAATAAACTTAAGGTGAGACAATAGGTCGTATTGATATGGATAGTAGTGGTGCCCAAATGTGAACTGATTAAATATTGAATTTGAAAACCACTGAATTTCAATATAATTACTTGAAAGTGTCGTGCTCTTTGTATAACATATTGGGTTTCAACATATTCAACAGTTGTTATAGTGAGGGCTTTAAAACTTGTTGAATTTAACTTTACATAGAACAAAGTAGCTTTTGTTAGATAAAGATTGAGAAGCAGATAATACAGGAAAGGTATTTCGTCCTAATATGAAAATCCTTGGTAATACTCATCTATGATCATATTGAGGACGTTTCAGATCTCATAATGAGCGCTTAACATCTAATGAAACATTGTGACTGGTAGAGATTATTCATATCACGAATAGCAATAGATAGTGGAACCCCCATACTGAGATAAATTAAGTGTTGAGTTCTTTCTAGTTTTTAACAATACAACGTAAAAATGCAAAATTATTATTTTATCAGATAGTTTGTGAACATACCGAAACAATGTGAATCTATAGTGAAATGATAAATTCTATAACACATGTTATTCACATTGTTCCAAAAAGCTTTTTTTGTTTAGAGAAAAGAATATATGTCTTCATAAATAAATACAACTCAAGAATAGCTAACATTTTCATTTCAACAGAACAAATTACATAATCCATTACTGAATACCAATATAAACTCAGTACTAGAAATCTAAATCCACATTTAAAAATGTAAATCAAACACTTTGGGGGTGAGGTTTCAATGGAAAAGTAATTTCAACAACAAAAAAAGTTTGATTTGATACATCATATTGGGTACACTACCAGATAAATGAACCAAAGAGTTAGTGAACACCTTATTACGTGATTAGGAAAAGGTACTATCAAGTCAATATACAGTTCGGTTCTATCAAACTTGAACGATAGTAGTCATGTAGTAGGCAGAAATAAGTCATTTAAAGTTATTTATCGTATTCTTAATAATCAGTTTAGGGGTTGTGGAGATTGTTAAGTTTTTGATTGAGATCATGAATCGATTGATGTTAGACCACCCTTGTATGCCTGGAAGCACTGGACGGCCGTTTCGTCCTATTGTAGGACTCCTCAGCAGTGCGCATCCACGCTTCTGCTCTCGGGATTCGAACCCAGAGCCTTCAGTCTCGCGAGCGAACGCTCAACCTACTGGACCACTGAGCTGGTATCCAATGGTGATAGTGTCTAAAATCAACCAATCCATGAAATTTCTCGACTATCTTCCATTGTACTGAGGTATACACCTGTTTCCTCCCGACACGGATTAGCTCCATTGGTCACGGCTTCTCACCAGAACTCCGAGAATTTTCTCACAAAGTTAGTCACTAATGAGTACATGTTGAGGAGTCTCACAATAGGACGAAACGTCCGTCCAAAGCTTCCAAGTTTTCAATGGTGGTCTAACATCAATCGTATTCTTAATAGTTCTCCTCATGGTGTTCGATCTCATCAGTTGCACAGAACAGAAACTTTAGAAATTCGAGCCAACAATCCAAGTCATTGTGTTCATAAGTAATTTGTAACACCCTTATCTCTCTCTTGGCCTTGATAAGTGACTTTATTTATCGCTTTATTACCTTCCATACTTTCTCTTCGTTTATTATTATTTCTCTCCTCAACCCCTTCCTCCATTTTAACTTATTTTCTATCAAATATACGATTCATGGCCCAATTATCTGAACACTTCTCATTACGTAATCTTATGGTTTTTATGAATGTTATTTCAGTGTCTTAACTGTTTCTAATCACTAATCTCTTTCCCGTTATGTAACATTAATTCAAGCCTTTATTATTCTTATCACAACTAAGATACCTAACATCACACTATCAATTTGTATTTTTCACTTATTTATATAATCTATTGCATTGTTATCATCATTGACTGATAAACTACCTTGATTAGTTTAATCATTTCATATTTGTATATAAATATTAGAGTAAAGCCTAACGAGGATCTAATTGTCCTATCAATTAAAATGAATTGACAAGATCATATACAATGAAACTTCTTTCATATACATTACATTATTTAATTGTATGGATAATTAAGTGATGTTTCTCTCTCTTTTATTACAAAAAAAAAAATCAACTTATTGATGATATAGTGGATCTATCCAAAAATTAGTTTTTTTCTTTTAATTAGTTAATCTAAATTAAAAATTAAAAAAAATTTTTTTTTATTTTTAATAAACCTAGAAATACACTGGATCTAGATTTAGGAAACTTTTGCTGAAAACTTTTTCTCTCCTAAAATTTAATTCATTTTTTTTTGGATAGTTACTATTATAATTTCAGCAGTTTAAAAATCCCCATAGAATAGTTGAGCGAACAATTAAGTTTCAATAACTTCATTATCAGACTGTACAGTTATAAGTCTATAATTATGATATTTGGATCAACTCCAAAAGATTAAATTTATGTGTTCAGAAAAAAATATATCCAGCCTTTTTGTGTTACCTTGGCTTACGACTGGATCACTGAATACCTAGACTGAATATTATTAACCTCTTACCCCTTTCCTTTATTTTTATTTTTATTTATTAATTTTCTTCCTTATTATCATTATTTTTGATTAGCTCTACCTTAGTCTTCACATCTATCATTCCCAATTCGTTTATCGTAATTACCTTGATAACACCATCCTTATTACATATTATATTCACACAACAATCTATTGTTATTATTATTATTCATATTACGTAATCTATTATAACCTTTTTATTAACTATGTTCACATTTCCTCACGGAATTAGTACTTTTACAAAATCAAAAATTTTTTCATATATATACGATTGTACAGCTTGATAATAAATTCGTTGAAAAGAGATCCCTTCGCTGAAATTCGTGTTTTAATCTTATTATTATTATTATCTCAATTGACAAGATTAGATTCTCTTACTATCCATTTTATTTACACAATGTTTTTTGCATTTTCATTTTTGTTATAATACTATTCTACTTATTGTGACTGAACACTTTACTCCAAATCATCCTGACCTTGATGGAATGACCTTTCTAATTTGCAAACAATACAATTTCGAAGTATATAGATATATCGTAACAGATGTAAACGTGCACCATTTTTAACATATAACATTGTCAAATTCATTAATACCATGCCTTATATTTGGTCTTTGTAAAATATCATAATAATTATGGACTTATAACTGTAGAGCCTAATGATGAAGTTATCGAAACACAATTGTTTGCTCAAATATTCTTCATTTTTGACTATCATAATTGTACCAAAAAAATGGAATGGCGAATTTAGTCCTCAGAATTAAAATAATAATAATAATAATAATAATAATAAACATAATGAACCCAATCAAATAAACTGATCATATTGTAGTAATGATGATTGGAAATGAATAAGAAAACAAAATGTAAACATTGAAAATGTAATACCTTTTTATTATCTACTACATAGTTGATAGATACTTGACCTTGAGTGGAAAAATTAAAAATTTAGGTAGAAATATAGAAGTATGAAGATCATTTGAAATCTTAATTCATGAATTAAATTGTTAATCAATATAATACTGAACTTGTATTACAAATAGACATTGAAATTTTAAATCTTACAACAATGTAGAGATTATGCTTTCAAATTCTTTGTTTCTTGATCATATAAAATTCAATGTAATTAATACATAATCAAATAATCATAGTTATAACCAAACTATTTATGTCTAGTCAATTATCACAATTAGATTTGAAGTACTGACAGCAAAATGAATATAGTAATTTTTTCGATTTATATGAATGCTACACGTTTGCAATCATAAATACACAAAAGGTTTTCTTTATGTAAGAGTTCAATAGTTTAATTAACTTATCCCATTAAATTAGCATAAAGATGTCTTTGATGATACTCCATGTTTGTTGCATAATAACTCATTCGTTTTATTACATAATTTATTCACATATACTAGCTATGACGTGTTTGCTTCTGAAGAGTCTCATAATAAGAAGGAACACATGTACACTTCCGTATTTCTCAGTAATACCCTATAGTAGATCAATATGCAGTGAATACAATCTTTCACTGGTCTCTCAATATCGTGGATCAATTGAAATTGAAGAGTGACACCGATGGATGCCAACCCACTGGCCTAGAGTTTAAGCATTGTCGTGCGAGATCGAAGGTACTGAGTTCAAATCCCACGTGCGAGATCGCGGATGCACAATGTTGAAGAGTCGTATACTACTACGAAATGACCGCCTAATGTTTCCAAATTTTTATTGGTGGTC